CACACACACACACACACACACACACACACACACACACACACACACACACACACACATTCACAAACTGCTTTTAATTTGCTTCTCTTTCACTTGAACTCTCTCCTCTCTGTCCCCTGCCATGAGTCCAGCTGTGGGCTCATCTGCCAGAGTCAGTTATTATTCATCATGCTTCTATTGCTGTGTCACACACCTACATACACACACACACACACACACACACACACACACACACACACACACACACATACACACACACACAGACAGTCAGTCACACTTCCACACAGGTGGGGCGTGATAATCGCTAGTCCAGTTGGGGCTCTGCCAGGTGGCAAATTGCATTCTAGTGGTCGTGTATGTACAGAAATAGATCTCTCACCTTCATTATGACCCAAAATGTAATTTAAGCAGATTGACACGTGACACATTCGGGTTTTTGTTTTTTTTTTGCATCCTGACACACCTGCAACAGTTGAAAAACACTCTGAATGCTGAAATGATTTTTTTCTGTTCCACATATTGTCTTTTTGCCAAATGCGCTTAAGACAAGGCTGATTTCACTGGATTAAAAGAGGCAATGACTGCCATATTGATTTAATTCACAAGAGAGACAGCAGATGACAGTGGATATGATGTTGTGTGTGTGTGTGTGTGTGTGTGTGTGTGTGTGTGTGTGTGTGTGTGTGTGTGTGTGTGTGTGTGTGTGTGTGTGTCACCTAGCTTATTTTAACAGCAGGAACTGCACATCAGATCTAATGCTATTTTCCCTCTCCTCCTCGTCCTCCTCGTCTCGCTCGTTTTTCCAGAGCGCCACGGCCAGCTTCAAAGAGCAGTGTGGGCTCCCCACGGTGGCCAAACTCAAGCAGTGCATCCAGAGCCTGACCACGAGGCTGCAGAGCCCCGAGGGCACCATGGGGGCCACCATGGTGCTGAAGGAGGGCTACCCGTGTCTGGAGCCACTGGTCAACCTCGCTGAGCCGACGCGCAAACTGCTCGCTGCCTACGACGCGGTGAGTGAGACGAAGGGCGGAGGGTAAAACCCTCTGCAGCCTCTGCTTCCTCACCCAGTAGGCTTCACCCACATGTCTAATAATTAAAGGGGGAACCAGTATTTTCTTACATGCTTCTGAAGCTCTTAGATTTGTGAGAGAGATGGCACCAACTGAGGTCAGACGTGTTCCTTCATTACCATAAACTGCTCACTTAAAAAAATAAAACTGACTTATCAACACGGTATGTAAATTAATTTGCTTAGTTTACTCACAAGTTTTAGTTTAGTTTAGTTTAGTTCTGTTTCTCAAGTTTGGTTAAAATTAATTCCATTAGAAAGTTTTAAATTGTGTTTTTGTGATACCCAAGATGGTATAACTGAGTGCACACAACCTCCTGAGGCAATAAATATGCAGAAAGACACTGAGGCGACATGCATAAAACAGTCACCCACACACACACACACACACACACGCTGCCAGCTGTGTCTCCTCCTACTCCACCTCCTCTTGCATCAGATCAGGACGAATCTCTCCCACCTGTGTCGGTGCTCGGCTATTACACCTACACGCACTTCAGCACGCACAGAGAGCGCTTCATTCCAAACTATTGCGTCGTGTTTATGCACGTCAGCGGAGCTAATGATGTTTGAGTGTGAACCCAGCAAATGTGGGCCCAGCAGGTCAGTGTCTCGAAGCCACAATTTGTGTGATCTCCAGTCGAACATCACACCTCTTCAAGCCTTTCTGGGCGCACACACAAAAAGGCTTAGTCATCATCACACACACTCGCCCTCCGCTCTCTCATCTCTGTCTCCTCAGCTGCCCTGGAGCCAGTCTTCTGTTCTTTTCTTCCCCCCATCCTTCCATTTCTTTGCACAGATTCTGTACATGAAATAAACTTCATGCTTTGTGTTGCTTTCCAGATCAGCATCCAAATCAGTACTTTTGCTCAGAATCAGATCATGTGTATATATATACATATATACCGTTTGAAATACAGCTCTGTGGGTTTGAACAATGCTTTTTAAAACGATTTTTATTAAGTTAGACTTTCTTCCCGTCTGTGCAGATGATTGTCGCCCAGAAGCAGCTGATTGAGAACGCCGATGCCGTTCAGGAGCGGGTCGCCCAGGTGCAGAGAGAAGGTAACAGTGAGCGACGGGTGACGATGACATTCGGCGATAATGAACGTGAATAAAACGACTGCAGTACTCGAGATGCCCAAATCCTAAAACAAATCCCCCAAAATGAGCAAATGTGAACATCAAACAGCTGAACTTAATGAGGACGACTCCTCGGAGAATCTGAGTCTGACTGTAAACAACGTTACACCTGGAGATATGGGACTCGACACCCTCAAAGGTTTTTGTCAGTATGGATTTCTAATTAGCAACAAACCAAAGGCGCTCTCGTTTTTATGCATTTTCAAAACAGAAGTATGTTGTTTAGAAATAAATAAACCTCGCATTGATATTCAGGTGTGATGCAGCTGTATAGCAGCATTCACTGTGAATAGATCGACACAGTCAAACCTGCGTATTATTAGACCTTCTCACTGTCTTAGATAACTCCTGACCTTTAACTGTCAGTGTAAATGTCACGAGGAATGGCACTCTGCTTTTGTGTTAATATGTAAATCAGTATTTGACAACCAATCCATCAAGACGTGTTGATAATTCTAGCACAATAGCACATTACCGTTTACAGACAGTTGACAGTTATATATCACCTGCATTTGAATTGTTGATCCCCCCCCCCCCTCCGTAAACTGATGCAAAGCTCCTGTTTGTCTTTGTGTTTTTGCAGGAATGGACTTCCACGAGGATCTCTCCCGGCTCGGGGAGAAGGAGGGACTGAAGGGACGCAAGCAGAGCAAAGCAGTGGAGAGTTTCACCTGGAACATCACTGTGCTCAAGGTCGTAGTGATATCAAAACCTTCTGAATCTGTAGGATTAACTCAATAATTGTCTTGTTGTTGTCACACCAGACTTCTAGCAGCTAAAGAGTTGGTGGAAACCAAAAACAGAGCTGAGAGGAGAGTGAATGTTGGACACATTTGTCAGTTGGTTAGAAATGCTGCTCTTCAATAAATGCAGCCTCAAATCAAATGCTAAATATATCTCCTGTCAATCACGTCCCAGGAAACAATCCCAGCCAACAACAGCCTGCAAAACAAATGCTTCCACATTCTGCTTTACTTGCATACGTGAGTTGAACTCGTGTCTTCCTGTGTGTTGCAGGGTCAGAGCGATCTGTTACGGGGAGCTAAGATGGAGTCCCTGGATGCACTGAGGCAACTGGCTCTGGCCTGTGAAGCCTGTGGACTCACCTCCTCCTCCTCCAACTCCTCGTCCTCCACCTTCTCCACCGCCGAGCTGCACTACTCCTCCCACCCTCTGTCTGGCCGCCGAAGCAGCACACACGGCAACGGACGCATCTGAAGAGAAGGGAGTGGACAGAGTGCATGCAGGGGGATAACAGAGATGAGGAGATATGAGAGCGAGAAAGAGAGGAAGGGGAAAAAGTGTGGGTAAAAAAAAGCACCACGGGACACTTTCTCCCTGGCAGCGTATCCCTTTAGACAGTGAAGTATGTGTCTAGACTAGACCAGACCAGAGCAGTATATCTGTTAAAGCCTTACGGGGAGTCAATTTGTCACTGAAGGTCCAGCCTGCAGAGAGGCTATTCATGAATGTCGTAACTCCACCGTGGAAAAAGATTGAACTTTTAACGACTCCTCCTTATTTTTCTGTGAGAAAACGTGCAATTCCACGTTGTTACTCTGCAGGTTCTTCCTCATTAGAGAGGAAATAATAGACACCAGAATAATTTGTGACAACGGGGCTGTAGTGGAGCTGATGTTTATGGTCCTGTTGGTGTTCAGAGGTAGAATGCAGAATGGAGGAGATGTAAAGCTATTCTCCGCCTCAGCGTTTCAGCTGGTCCCCTGGGAAGGCAACAAGACTACCTGTGTGTGTGTGTGTTTACATGTTGACAGTGTTGCAATTAGTGGAAGGTGCTATAAGACATTGACAGACAGGATGTGACCCACAAAAGAAACCATATGGAATATACAGTAACTGATTCTAGTAGCCTGGATTTTTAGTGTAGGTTAATACTACTTTTTAAAAAGGTTTTATGGTACTCTATGTTTGGTTTTTATATGTAACTGCAATTGAACATGTGCAGTATCTAGATGTAAAAAAACAACAACACCACAAAGCTTTTAGTCAAATTAGGATGATGTCACATAAAGTAGGTCTCAGTATCCTGTATGGATTACTGAACTGGCCTACCGGGTACAGGCACAGGGGCCCAAAGTGTCAGGGCCCACCCTGGCCTTCACCTACAAAATGTAACTCAACGAGACATGTGCCAACCGGGTAGAGACGCAAAATGACCGCAAAGACGCACAAAACAACGACAAAGAGACCGGAACAAGTACAAACAGATGCAAAGACGCACAAAGAGACTCACAACTACGATGAAAAGGGGCAAAACAACCACAATGAGGCACAGAAATGACCCTAAAGACAACAAAACAACTACTAAGACATGCAAATAGATGACCAAGAGACTCTCAGTGACTTTGAAAGTGGGCTTAACAACCATAAAGAGACACAAAACAACCACAAAGATACAAACACCTACTACAAAAAGGCTGTGCCCATTGTCTCATCATCCGCCCGTGATTGATATCAAGATGAAACCTTTTCCTGTATTTGATCAGCTGCACTCTTCTGACTTCAAACTTTTCAAAAGAACATGGCAACTGTTCTGGTGACGTCAAATTCCTCCAAAGCTATCGGACAAAGTGAGACTCTCAATGAATGTCAGCCGAGAAGCCGAGCTTATCTAAAGTATCGACGGTTATTAATGAGGTTTGGGAGTTCGGAGAGGTGGAAAGTCTCACTCATCTAAACATTTGCTGATTTATCTAATTGACTGCGTCAGTTCTTTGCAGACTTGAACCTCTTAGCAAGAGCTGAGCTGTGGAGCTCTTGTCCAGTCTGTTTAAAGGCCTATAATAATAATAATTACTTTATTTATATAGCGCCTTTAAAAACAGAGTTTACAAAGTGCTTTGACGGACAAAGCAAGGCAATAAAACAACAGGAAGCTCAACAGTGAGGCCCAACAAAAGCTAGACCACCTAAGGTACAAATCTAAACCACAAGGGCCCCGAGATCAGTTGATGCATGCAAAGCACCCATCAGAGGTGCATTCTTATTTAACAGAATCTGAGGTTTAATAAACTCTGCAGCACTCAAACATTTCCTAATCCAACCGCTATCTTCATGTATGGTGTGAAATAACCAGCAGCGGAACGCACACACGGGCTCTTGTTATCTTCGCCCGACGGCCTTTCAAACCCGTCGCGCTCAGTCAGGAGAGGGGACGGCTGAAGCACGAGGAGAGCAGGTGTGGTGGAGACGAGACGCGGTAATTGGAGAAGTTGTGGTTGCGTGTTGATACTGTAGTACTACATGTGTACATGTGTGGATCGCATAACCTCCTCGCTATACCGACATGTGAGGTAATGGACGCTCAGAGTCTGTGCGTGTGCGTGTGTGTGTGTGTGTGTGTGTGTAGAACAGATTCCTGCAGCATTGGTGTATGTGTGGTGATACACTGTATCGATGTAGCAATAATTCTAACTAAGTTACAAGAAAGTCAAGGAGGCGGTGTAACTCGATGCTTACTGACTGGAGGATTGACGACAATATAACTAACTGTATAGCTCAGTGATGCTTATAAATGTGTCCAGCAGGTGCTACTGATTATGGCTCATAGTTGTGCTTACCTGCCAGTGACGGCGTTCCTCTTGGCCTTTTGAGTGTAACTGCGTGTTTCTTAATTAATGCAGGAAAACACCTGTTCTTTTAACTCAGCGTTTGTACTCACATTCTTGTATTCTTGTGATGCTGCGTTTGAACCGAACTTGACAAAAGTGATAAACACACACACACACACGGGACCAAGTCTAACAGATTATAATCTATTCTCTAGGGAACAGAATTGATCTCCACTGTTGGTGATTTTCAGGCTTTATAATGAGTTGAAGGATTTTAATGCAGCTTTAAAAAAGCCTTTTTTTTTTTTTTTTTTTTTCTTGGTTCCCAATAATTTAAATGTTGATTGTATTAAAAAAATAGTAGGGCAGGTGTATTTAAAACAATTTTATTAAAAAGTACTCACAATTGAACAAAGCAGGCGTGAGTGAACTTTAGAACAGAAGACACGGTGAATGTTTTATTCTGCCCTTTTGAGGGAGGCAGGAAGGCGGACCGACGGGAGACGAGGATCACAGCTAAACATCGTAACAGCTCACCAGCCGATCGACCCCAGCTGGTGGCATTTAGCAGTAGACAGGATGTAATGAGAAACATGGGCGCGACACTGAGGCTCACCTACCCCTCTCTAAGTGCTTGTGCAGGACTACTGTGTGCTCTGAATGGCCTCCTGTATTTTTGTGCACTGTGTTGGCTGCCTTTCATTTATCTACACATTCCTTTCCTTTAAAAAGAACCCATACTATTAACCTCTTTCATACCTCCACTCTCCTCCATCCAGGAGTGACAGAGCTGACGTACTGAGTCACAGCCACAGGAGGAGGTCGACCTAATAACATTTCCATGTGAGAGAAGCTTCTAAAAGTAGACAACATGTAGTGAAGAGAGAGCAAAGGTTGAAGGATAGAAGAAGAAGAAGAAGAAGAAGAGGCTGATGTTGACAGCACCTGTTGTTTTGGTCTATTTATAACGTTCTGACTCACTTGGAGACCTCGGGATGTGTGCCTATGCTGGTGTGCGTTCGTCTGTCATCATACCACGGTGCCCTAATTCCTGGCCTGATGGTGCAAACAGGTTCTCCCACATACACACAGTCATTGCCAAACCGTTTCCATGTTTCCTGTTAAATGCACCGAAGCAGACGGCGGCTTCAGGGGCCCGTTGCCCCCTGAGAGGCACGTTTTAAGTGGATGTAAACCACAATTTTCACAGGGACCTCTCTCTGAGATCTGCTTACCTGTAAGGTGGATCGCTCTGCATCAATGATGCATCAGCTCCTGTAAAACAAACCGCAGTATTAGCTTTCTGTGTTCCGGGTTTACATGCCTGCTGACATGGAGGAACACAAGTGGGTCAGAGAGCGAACAGGCGACGGGGTTTAACTTCTTGTAGGTGAACGTAAGCGGTCGGGTTTCAGTAATTCGCTCTCTTCTTAGGTTAAACCTCATTCTCAGAATAATGAATTCGGTACAAACTGTGTTTACAAAGCAGCTATGGTAGACATCGACGACTGTGCTGCTGCATAAAAAGAAACATTTAATAACTGAGGAAAACGGCAGCTTGTTATTTTAATTGAGACCTTTGCAGTGTGTCAACGCTTGAGCCACTAATTTGTCGCTCTAAAAGGAACATACCTGTGTTTCCGCATGATTTAACCGATTTATTCTAAATCATTTAATACACATACTGTTCCATTTGAAAAATATAGACATTGAATGTGTTTTTACACCATCCAGGTGGTTACAGTTAATGTCATTAGAGTCGGCGTGCAGAGACTCGCTTAAAGCAAATCCATGTCAGCAAACATCAAGCCTGTGTTTTTATGTGCTAAAACATCATATCGTGGTGATGCAAATGAAGGCAATGTTGTGATATGCACAGCCTTGTATGTGAAAGAAGCTACCGAACTGATAAGATCTGTCCCACAAGCTACATTTTTGCGCATCATTTGTTGGCTGGGCCTGAATTTTTCACATTAATCCATCTTTTGTTGCATTAGCACACAAGGTTAATGTCGCTTTCATTGATATAAAACGGAGCGTGATGTTCACCTGTCTGGAGCAAATTTTAAAATCCCTGAAGGTTGCAAAGTTCTGGAAAATAGTCAGTAAGCCAAGCATATACATGATTTGCAGAAACACTAGTATGATCCTTTAAACCTTGGTACGAAGCATTTTCATATCCTCTCCATGCCTGTTTCGCACATCTGCTTCATACGTCACTTACCTGATATGTTTACCTCTGCGGTCATCCACTCACTACAGTGCTTTACTATGATGTTCAGTATTGTATTTTGTTTGTGACCCTGATCCCTGAAGTGTGGGCTTCTTTACTTCCCTTTATACCTTTTAAAACGGGAACAGATCTGCGTGAAGCTCTGTCTCTGAGGTACAGTGCTTAAAGTTAAAGGACGGGAGCTGTGGACGGACCCATGCTTAGGGAGCAGGGGGCGTTGTATCTCTGTTACCCGCGTGTTACCGGCTCTCTCTGTGCTCTTCAGTGTGTGACGCTATACCTATCTTTGCAGACCAGTGGTCAAATAGTGCTTAACATTCATTTGAATAATTGAACGAGCTGTTTATACCTGCCATAGTGATGTGGACAAAGTTGTGTGAAACACTTGGAATATGTGTAAAAGGTATCTTAGGTTCTGTATTACCCCGTGGCGTCTGCAGTTTCTGTGCTGGCCCGTGTCTACGCAGCTGACCTTTAATCCAGTGTTGTTCCCTGTTCTTACAGTCACTGTATGTTTTTTGTAAGATAGAGGTAAAAAAAAAAAAAAGACCAATAGAAGAATATTTATTAAAGTGTGTTTTAAGAAACATAAATAAATATAATTAATTAAATGGACCTTGCTTTTATTTTGAAAAGCTACTGTGTTTTCTATCTGACAAGTAATCTAATATAACACGAGTATGTATCCCAGACTTAATAAAGTGATCTTTTCCTGACCAAATCCTCGTGTGGCACTCTTCTTTATCCCTCTCTGTCTCTCTGATGCTGCTCTGTGGATATCTGTCGTCTTTGTCCTGTTCATACTTACATGACGTTCTCCAATGGCTGCAACCTTTATCTAATGCAACCTTTGACTTCTCTAATAATTAGTTGGACACGTTGAAACCTAAACCTTTCCAACCCTTTATTATAAATGTTGTTTACTTTGCCTTAAACAATAAGTGAGATTGATCAAATAATCGATGAGGGGTTGCGTTAGCATATGGTTAGCATCGGAGTTAGATCCGGGTACTTTGCCGAGCGGGAACCGAGAGAAGATGGACTTGCAGAAGCAGCTGGGATGTCCGCCATATTTAAAATGCAAGTCAGTAAAAAAAACATTTATTTTAATTTAATTGCTATAACGAAGTTGTGTAGTTGAACAGTTTTATTTATTGACAATGAGACAGTATAACCAACAATTCAGGTGAGCTAGCTGTCTGTTTTACCTCCAAATTGATTTTTTTAACTGTTGGTTCATTTACAATCTGACTGGTGTGTTTCTCTGCCCTGTAGACACCCCAAGTTCCCACAATCCAGTTACTTTAGGTGAGTACTATGTTTTTGTAACCAAATAGAAATGATGGCTGAAACTATAAAACAATAATCCCCCGAACTGAAGATGCAACAATTTTCCTTTTAAGTTTACCGTCAATGCTTCGCCACTCCTTCGCTCTGCCAGGCTGCACTGGTCTTTTCCTGCTGCTGCTGCTGCTGCTGTTGTTGTTGTTGTTGTTCATACAGTGTTTCAGTTTATTATTAAACTGGTTAGTTTCACCAGAGCTTGCTGCTTGCTCTGGCATGCTTATCAGATGTTCGGTGTGTGTGTGTGTGTGTGTGTGTGTGTGTGTGTGTGTGTGTGTGTGTGTGTCATGACTTGGCTGTTGCTGGTTGCTAAATTTACCTCTCTTGCTGTTGCAATCTGGCTCCAGAATGTGGTGTGTATTTGCATTGGTACAAATTGCAAACTGCTCTCTTTGTGGTCATTTCTCTGGGTTGCTGTCTTGCATTAGGACGCCTCAATGCTGTTGATTAGTCACTGAATAACTTTGAATATTGTGAGTGTTAGCGTTTGGGCAATTAACTGCAGCACAGAAAGTACAGTATATACAGAAATACAATGTTCTGGTACTGGTGTATTAATCTACTTGAGTAATTCTAAAAGTTCAAACTACATTTTTTTTATATGGACATGAGTATAAATAAAGTTAATTTTTCAATCAGAAAGGCTGTCGGTTATAGCAGCAGGTGTAATTACGTCCATCATGGTTATGGTGAGTTGCAGCAGCAGTGACAAGACCTTACTGAAATACACTGTACATGATGTTACTCTGTACCTCCAGCAGGGGGAGACAAACATCAAGCTATTTGCTTTCGGGTCAATCTCAAAATGATCTCACAGGTCGACCATAGTTCTGTGCAACTGGTTTGTTAAATGATTAGTTTAGAGGCTGAATGCTCAAAACGCGTTTTTGTCAGCATTGCATCTAATCATTGCAATTTATATTCCTCAATGTTTTTTCTTATTTTTCAATTTATTTTAATTATTTAAGTATTTTTTTTAATAAAGTTTTTGATAGTGGAATAATAGTGCAATATGTTTTTTTTTTCATTATCGATTAATCTGCTCATTATTTTTTTATCAATTGGTTAAGTTGTAAGAAAATGGTGCCCATGTAGACGTCGTCAAATTGCTTGTTCATTTGATCATCTATAATATATAACTATATTTATTGGACCAATGGGCCAAAAACCAAAGATTTAAAATTTTAAATGATATGAAGCAGATAAACTTTAAATCCCAAGAAACTGAAACGAACATATTTTCTGCATTATCACTTAATAACAATGATTGGAACTATTAATTGATTATTAAAATAGTTTGTGATTTCTGCTCTATATTTTATGCGATTGCTTGTGAGCTGAATGCTTTACAGTTTTTTACGGCATGTTGTGTTAAATAAAGATGTTGCACACTGGATTATAGGAGATGCACATGTTGCCTGTAGATGGAGACGCACCATGTCGTATGGTTTTTAATGTACGCGTACACGTATCCTACCCTCAAATAACAACTTAGCAAGCCTGGCCATCGTGACATATTGTTGTTAATGTTGTGATGTATTGTCTTTTAAATAGGGCAGCACAGTCTTATAGTTGCTGTATCTGCCCCCCCCCC